GTTAGCGGCAACGAGTTGGGGCGGTTGGGGTGCGCCGGTAGGTTTTACTGCGCTGATGTCACCGACGTATTTCCTGAATCGGCGCCTCTCATCGCCGCATCGCAGCTGAGCGAAATTCAATGAGATATGTTGCGCTACAGCGACAGCATGGGACTAGTCCCATACGCCGGTATGCCTGTTGGGAAGTGCAGCGAGTCTTGTCACCACCCCGTCATTGTTGGCAGAAGGGCCGGCCCGTGTCAGTCGTTTGCAAAGCGACGTAGATGGCGTTTTTCGCGGCCTCGGAGATGCAGGAGCGAGCCGACGTTAAAAAAGATACGTTTGAACTACGAGTGTCAGCAAGAGCCACGTAAATACCTGTTTACACTCGGAGCGGACGCGCGCGCTTGATGGAAGTCTTGTATTCGCGCTGTCGGTAAGCGCTTCGGGACCGTTCTTTTACGATTGCAACTCGATACTGACGCGACACTCGGCAAAGAAAGGTTGGACCGGGGTCGACAGTGACGTGCAGTCTGTCAGAATAAAAATGGCATACCAATAACAAAGTGTACATACCGTGTTACGAAGGCAATCCATACGGCGTTTATTTCAGCTCTATATCACACAAAACAAGAAGATAGAATCGACGAGAGTCCCTTTTCGACGAGTGTTCGTCAACACTGCCTCGGAAAACAAGGGGAAGAGATTGACCTCCTCACCTCTTAATCTAGAATTGAGGTCAGTGATCAAACTATAATACGGGAAGGGTCCACAAGGGTCGCGCGGGCATATTCCATTTAGCACGCCAGCCGGTCGTAGGCAGACGGTCTTGCGACGAAGCAACGCAGCGCCGAGTCGGAATGCCTGCTAGGCCTATACGCTTCGTCGGAGTCGGTGAATCCAGCGTTCTTGTTCGTCGTGGTCTGTTTTCAGTACTGTTTTCTTGCTGCTTCAAGTCGGCACGCGCGGGAAGAACACGTAGAAAAATAAACGTTCAGTCAGTCAGAGTTTTGAGAGGAAGGAAAACAAAGAAAATAAATGTTCGTCGGTCGCCGTCACCCAAGTAACTGGCGGCCCTGCCCTACTGCGCACGCGCAGTAGTTGCTTCGTTTACCACACGATAGATGGCGCTTGGCTCTCAGCATTATCAAATTTGGCAATTTTCGCCACACATCTCTAATTATGCTACAAAATGTGGATCTGAATATTATTTAACAAAACTTTTAGGAAACATTCGCCGGCTATTTATTGTTTACGATCGCGGTGCTGGTGAGGTAGGCTCTTACCCAATAGGCGATGTGGATTCGGCTGACGTGCACCGATTCTGCGTATGCATCGTAGTGAACAGGCGAAGGAAGGAAGGCGCAAAAGAGTCCAGTTTTCTTTTAAAAGTTCTATAGCAAATAATTTTTTTGGGCTCCCTATTTTTGTGTTTTTGTGTTTCTTTTCACACCTTTTACGACGTGCGGTGGATGAAACTCGATTTTAAAATCATTTCATGGTCCCTTTAAGATTAGCCACGGTGTCCCCACGTCCGGTCACGGATAATCCACCAAAGTTGTTCTCGGGGAAGGTCCCCAGTTTGTGCGCACTTCACACAGACAACACTGCCCGGCTGCATTTCCGCTTCCTCCAAATTCCTTCTCCCGGCACGTCCGCGACGTCATCAAACATGTACAGCTTCTTCTTTTTTTTTTTTTTTTTTTTTTTTTTCAATTTTGTTTTCTTTCTTGGTGAGAGCACGGGTGGCGCCAGCGCCGTGAAAGACGTGAGTGACGCGCTCGGCCGGCCCGGCGCTCGACTATTGATACTACTGATAAGCCGATCGCCTCGTTGAGCGCGGCTTGTGTTACATCGCATAGTTTTGATTCTTGAACACCAAGTAAAAGGAGGAGAGGGAAGCTGCTTTTGTAACAATTTTGAGTGACAGGTTAATCTTCTATAATCTTCTGGGAGGAGAATAGCGACGCCTGTGCTAATCCAGGAGGCACAAAGGGGGATCCTGATAAGAGGAGAGCTCCTTCTTCCCCTTGTATATCACGTGGGTGTACATGCTTATAGCGAGTTCGTTTCACGGCACTCGTGCCCACGCGTGCCCACTCGCAGCGTGGAACGGGTTCGTTTCGGCCGGCACTCCACGAGTGGTTGCACTCTCCGAGTTCGTTTCAGCGCTGACACCACACGCGTGCATGCACTCGCTGCGCCGAGAAAATCGGGAGTGCGCCAAAATGCAATCCCGTCATGCCTCGCTCCGGTGGGGCCGGCGAGGAGCGGGAGCAGACGACGATGGTTCGTCTGCTACGATGTGTCGCGGAACCGAACGGAAAAAGAAAGTAGATTTTCTGATAGAAATCGCGTCCCGCGGGCAACGAAATCAAACGCAAGCTTGGATTGTGAGCGTCTGCTATTTCACGAAGGAAGCAATCGACAACCCCTGATTTATTTGCAGGTTTTAAATCGCTCTGTCGCCGTACAAACGCCGAAATAAAGTGTAAAGAAATGCTCAGAACAAACGCAACAGCGGCCCCCGAGATGTCTATCACCATCCGTGTGCGGGTGAAAAATTTAACATTTGTCGACCAAACTCCTCCACCAGAAACCTCTGACTGCCCAATAAGCATCAGAGAAAGCTAAAGATGGAGACTTTACCCGAGGATTGGGCAACATCATCATGTTTAACATTTACCTACGTCAGCTAACTTGCCCCGTCGTATTTTGTTCGACGCCGTACCGTTTCAGTGGTCTTCTTCATAATACCATGCTGAAACGGATCAAGCTTCTGCTCGGACAGCAGCATCAGTTTTCTTCAGTGTAAACGGTTATAAGAATTGAAAGATCGCAACCAGTTGCTTTGTAGACGGCTGGTAGCGGAAATTTACGCCATCTGTAATTATCTCTAGGGCAGCCTAGCTGCTTGAAGTTATCGCAACTATAAACTACAGGTTGCCGCGACCAACGTTTGTAAATAAACGTTGGTAGCGACTGCATTCTCGCATTCCCACGCTAAATCTAGCGGGAAAAATTCCCCGCTAAATCTAGCGGAAAAATTTCCCCGCTAAATCTGGCGGAAATTATTTCCCGCTAAATCGAGCGGAAAAATTTCCCCGCTAAATCTAGCGGAAAAATTTCCCCGCTAAATCTGGCGGAAAAATTTCCCCGCTAGATTTAGCGGAAAATTTTCCCCGCTAAATCTAGCGGAAAAAGTTTCCCCGCTAGATTTAGCGATTTAGCGGAAAAATTCCCCGCTAAATCTAGCGGAAAAATTTTCCCGCTAAATCTAGTGGAAAAATTTCTCCGCTAAATCTAGTGGAAAAATTTCTACACTAAATTTAGTGGAAAAATTTCTCCGTTAAATCTAGCGGGAAAAATGCCCCGCTAAATCTAGCGGAAACATTTTTCCGCTAAATCTAGTGGAAAAAATTCCCCGCTAAATCTAGCGGAAATATTTTTCTGGGGGGTCACATGACCCCCCCCCCCCCCCCCCCCCCCGCGTCGAGAACAGGTAACTCTCAGTACCCTTCCCTCCTCCTCCTCAAGAACTGCGCTCCAATTCGGTGTTACAGGGAGTTGTAAACGGCTTTCATTTTTTTTTTCTGATCTTTATTAATGACATTCCAGGCAAAATATCCTTTAACATCCGCCTTTTCGTTGACGACTACGTAATACATCGAAGGATAGTTTCTTTTCAAGACCATCTTTTACTTCAAAGAGACCTGGACAAAATCCAGGCATGGTGCACCAGGTGGTTAATGACACTAAAAACAAATCAAAATGCAAGTTAGTCCAGTTTTAATGAAAACGACAAGGATCTCAGTTCTCATACAAATTAGAAAATAACTTATACCTCGGAGTGACTCTAACTAACGATCTCACCTGGAACGCTCACACCGAGCTTATATGCACTGCCTCGTTTACATAAGATGAAACCTGAAATTGACTCCCCCATTCGTGCGAAAATTGGCTTATGAGACATACATTCGACCCAAATTGGAATATGCTGCAGCCATTTGGAGCCCTCACCAAATATACTTATTAAATCATCTCGAGGCAGTCCAGAACCGCACTGCCAGGTTTATTTTGAAGAAATATGATTGGTTAGTTAGTGTATCCGCCCTAAAGAGTGAACTGAACCTTCCTTTACTAAACGTCCGCCGTAAGATAGCGCGACTCTGTCTTTCACAAAATTTACTACCGCCTCTCTGCACTCCGAGACCCTCTCCTCCTACCCCCCAGCCGATCTTCATCGCGGCTAAATCACGGCCGTGTCACGTTTCCCACATCTCGGGCAGCACAACCTATTTTAACTCCTCCTTCTTCGCTCATACTATTGTAGACTGGAACGACCTCCCCTCACTTATTGTAACCCAGACGGATCCCACTGCATTTCGCAACGCTCTTTGTTCTCATTTCTGTTAATCCCCACTGTGCCGTCCTGTTTGTCTTGTGCTTTACTGGTTGCAATGTATCAATGTTTTCATTCCCTTATGCTCCCCATGTACCCAGACTAATTTGTGTATTACCGTTGCCCGTGGCGATGCCACGTTTTTGCAGCACCCCATGTATTCGCATGTGTTGTTGTTACTGTTTTATACTCTCGTGTTATGTACCCCCCCTTATGTAATGCCCTCAACAAGGGCCTTTAAGGGAACTTGGATAAATAAATAAATAGCCGAGTGAGCGCCATCCGACTCTGATGAGGTTTCCTGAAGGGTAGAGGAGGCGATGCAGAGGCTTCGATTATTCAGGGTGGAGTTGGCTGTTTTCGGAGGCTCGCTATCTTCGGGACCTCAGCCGATGCCACGATTCGAGTAAGCCAATTAAAGACGCCAAAAGTGCGTTGTCAGAGACAGCACTGTCTTGGGAGCTTCGCTATCACATTTACATCGGCCCACATTTCCAGAACATCCTGAAAACTGAACTCTTCCCCTTCAGCAATCTAAGGGTTCCTTTTAGCACAGCCACACTGCCATGGGAAGGCCCCTACCTGAAGGCCTTGAACAGAGCAGACAACAGTGCGGAAGGAGGTCTGAAATAGCACTTTATTGTAAATAGAGAAACAGGGCTAAAAAATTGTGACTAGCTGGGCCATCAATGCCCGAGCATCCACATGGAGAATGATAACATTGAGCAAACTACACACAGGCAACCAAAGCGATTGGGTGCTTGCCCGCACACTTGGCGGGTCACACCAAAGCCGTCACTGGGGATTGCATCGGGATGCCGAGCGCATCCTCCGCACACATTGCACAACACCACAGAGAGACAGGAATGTGGTGCTTCCGATTGTATTGCATGGTTCTGTACCACCGAGCCCCACCGGCCAAACAACCCCGCTTGCGGACCTAACAAAATCTGGCAGCACTTATGGCACTTTATAACTGACGGTCCGCTACACGCTGTTCCACCTCAAGTCCGACTGCGGCGGATGCCAAGAGCCGTCGGAGCCAATCCAGGGCCACGCGAATTTCCCGCGACCTTCGAGAGGAAGCACCGTGACACGCGGAAACCGTAGTCCCCTGCCAGATTCACAAGTTGGAATGGCTGAGATGGCTCGTAGAGTCTGCTGCAGCCAGACATAAGGGGAGCCAGAGTATAAGAATCCTCCTTGCCAAAAGGTGGCAGCGCTCGAGCCCGACCCCATCGCTAACAAGGAGTTGTGTGTCTCGCAGCAGGGTCGGCCAAACATTTGGCTGCTGCGACTCGGCTCTGGGTAACCCCATAGATGAGATTGCTGCCCCCCAATTTCTCCGCGACAGCAACCCTCCCACTGCATTCACGCGCGGATAAAAGTTATCACAATATCGATAGCCACGCAGCGAAGTGATATGTCGGCCCGGCGACGTGCCCCGTCGGCTCGAGCTCCGACGGACAACAGCAACAACGGATTGCCAGAGCACAGGGCACACGACGGCGGCACGAGGAAGAAACGCTGTGCCCTGCGAGGCCCACTAACCCTAACACCACGCACTCCGGCCGAGCCCTCACGCAGAGCCGGGCCAACGCCGCCTAGAAGACGCCTTTCCCCCCAAAATGTCATCAATAGGGGATCCTCGCAGCGCTGCCTCTCTTGCGGTAGCATCGCCTCCCCCACGTCTCGCGGTAATTGCGACGCTGGTAGGGGGCGCCGCCAAGACGGATGCGCCCGGCACTTTGCAGCGACTTCCAGCTTTAGCATGTCTGCCGCTTGGGGCATGGCGGGGATCTACCGACGATGGCGTCTCGTCTTCTAGGTGCCATTGGCCGGGCAACTGGACGGGCGCAGCGGAGATCCACACACGCGAGAACATGTAGTCGACTGCCCCCGAGGACTGCCGGGGAATGTGGCCGCTGCGTCCGGTCAGACGAGCACCCGGCAGGCGACGTTCCTGCCTGCCAACAACTAGGGTGACGGAGACTGACGACTTTGCATAGCAGCATTACCATGGTTGGCGCCAATACGTTCTCGCCCCACTTGGAGCACCTTGCACATTTTTACCTGCCCTAACGACGCGGCGTCTATAGCATCGACGGTGGCGTTGGTAGCGTCACTACTGTAAATGACAGCCAGCAAGTCCTTTTGCGGCTACGCTAGCCTTACGGACGTCATTAGAGTTGGCACAGGTTAAAAGTAACATACGTGAAGGCCCGAAACTACATTTCCTAGCTATAAAAGTGTCGCTAAACCCGCCATTCTTCACGAAACAGCAATTTTCAAAGCCTGCTGCAAGAATAACACACCAAGGCAGACATGTTGTTCCTGTCAAAGAGCTCGATGCAACTATGGTCAGTGACAGGTCAAGAGTTTAGAAGCTCCTCCAGGGGTTGCCTCCAGAATTTGCTCAGCTAGGAGGTGGAAAGAGCTTTCCCTTGGCCTATCACAGTGCCAAAGAACTGTTTCGGGTCTGCATACTAATTTCTTTAGTTTAAACTCGCAACCCTAGCACAGAGACAATGGAACTACCCCTACGGCTGTGCACCCTCGGTGTACGCGTACACCCTGCCCCCGGCCTTCCCTTGGCCTGACACCCACGGGCCACGCAGGACGCTCGTCTGACCCAAAGGCAGATTGAAAAAGTCCCCAGAGGAAGGACGTCCGGCAGCCCCGGAGGCGGGAGAGTAACGGCAGAGAAAAACAGCACCGAACATGGACGCTCGTCCAGAGGGCATGGCGACGTGCCGCGAAAGCCCCGTAGAAAAAGTCCTAGCACAACTGCGGAGACCTGACACCTAGAGACCATGCGGGGGGCGGGGACGACGTCCGGTTAATGCTACTACTCTCGGCTTCTTGTAAAAGCTATAAAATTATCGAGGCACTTTCACAGACTTCCACTAGTAATGCCTGAGTGTAGAGAGCGGTATATAATATATATATCGTATATATTAACAGCCTAATGCAGACATCGAAAATACTTGGTTCCAAGGGCAAGCAGAGTCCTTCCCAAAGTCCTTTTGGCGGCGCGCCCGACTCGCGAGTTCTCGGTGCAGAACGCTCGCCACGTAGGACCCCGCACGGTGTTTCCCCAAAATGCCCTCTAGCACAACCAGACTCGAAGTTTCGCTAAAATTCGTACTGCTCTAGAGTCCATCGCGACTCTGCTCGCACAGAGAGGGGGGCCGGGGTACAAAATGAGATCAGGGTGTGCCCACTGCAGCCCCATAGTCTACCGGATGCAACAAAAAGCTCTTCATCTCCAATGCGGAGTCGTCCGTTCTGATTTCAGCAGCTCGCGTGGGCAAAACGCTTTCCAAGCTGGTTGTCTGTAGAATACTTATCTGGTCGCCCTAAGAACTGGCAGCGGCACGGTACTGGGAACACGGGACAATATCACATAGAAAAGCCGGTACTAACGCAGATGCGACGGGGTCAGCGGCCGTGTACGACCTCGTCCTCTGGGCAGATGCTGTGGCTCACCCAAGAAGTACCGCCACCAAACTCCAAAACCTGCACGTATCAAAGGACCTGTTGTCTGCATTGAGTCAACTTTTGGCCCACCATGTAGCCATTTCCCAAGTCGACACGTGAACTCGGTACCGAACAACCCGCTAGCTCAACTACGTTTCACGATGATATACAAAGTTTCACAAAATAAGGAGGCACACTCCCACCTCCCTACCTAGTCCGCAATATCGGGTTCATGGAGCTTCACAAAATGGAAATTGGTCGCAAAAGAACATTTCAGACGGAACGAGCCACTGCCCACATGGGGGAAAAACTGAATGGCACAAAGTGAAAATGTATGTACTGTGAGTAGCACCGCGTAGGGGACAGGAACACATTCTTCGACTACGTCGGTCGAAGACGTCGTAGAAATGCAATCTGAGTAAAATATCTAACCTTATCTGAAGGAGCGATAAAAATTTCGTGAGATCCAAACATGCGCACGGTATTGCACAATGCCCCTGCTTGTCACACAAACTGTAAAACTTGCTAGGCCCCCAAATGTAAAACCAATTAGCGTTCCAAAGGGGTTCTCTTCGGCAATCGGGTTAAAAGCTCGTCCAAGAGTCAACGGGTTTGAGAACTACGTACAAAGACGGGAATCTAAGGAGGGCCAAGGGCAACCTAGTCTTTTCCGAGAGAGGCCCGAGCGACCGCCCAGAAACAATATTCCGTTTAAATACACCCCACGCAGAACTAGCACGCTATGCGCCCAAACGAGAAAACGTTGCTCACAACATATCCACTAGCGTCGGCAGAACCGTGAGCTCCAGTCTCTCCTTAGCCAATGGTCTTCTTTCCAAAGGCATTTCAAGCTAAAGCTCCTCAACAAACTCGTGCCCTGCGCTTCCTACGCGCACAAACGGTCGTCAACAAACAAAATCCACAAGACGGACATCTCGCACAAATTCCCAAAAGAACACGGTGTCTTTGCAAACCGATGATTCTCTCCCGGGGTACTTTGCGGAGCACAACCACTCTGCCTGCACGTTTGACTAGCTGCTCGTAAAGAACAAAAACGCGTCGAGGGGCGTTCCTCGAGGCTGGCAGACAACCAGCAGTGCAAGGGACGGTGTGGCCTCTTTCCGACGGGGTTCAGTCGCTTGCTGCGCCAGTGGCGGGGGGCGCCGCCGGCTGCTGGAACGTGCGCTGTTGCAGCAACAGCGTGGTGGTGAGGGCGCACCAGAGGCCGGTGCGAGCACGCCGGGACGCCATGCTCAGCTGCTGGATGCTGTGCGCAAGGGCCAGCACGTCTGCAACGAGTCGGAAGCAGACGTCATTGGGACCGCTGGGACTCACTACGCCCCCGCGTGCCAAAACAAAAAAGACCCGGCCCGCGATAATATAGGCGGGTTTTAAATTCATCCTGAAAGAACTTTCGGGTGCAGAGGATCGAGAGGCGGAGGAAGGTAAGGCTATAAACTGTCAAAGAACCTTCCCATAACAAAGACTGATACAAAGAACCTCTCCGTACTTAAGAGGGCGCGATACCTTTATTTATTCGTCCGTTTCAGACACCAGATAACGCGCGGCTCATAACGTGGTTACGCACGACTTCTAGATGGCGCCAGTATCAAAGTGTGAAAAGGCTCGTGTTAGCCGCTGCGTGAAATAGATCCCCAAAACGTGTCGTGTGACGCTTTTCTCCGGCGGAGGAAGTTTCTGCCTCCCTCGCGCGCGCTTGGTATGTCTCTGGTCAGTCAGCTCAGTGTGCATTGCTTCGGACATCAGTGATAATACGTGTGGTGGCCAAGTCCGGCCTCTGCTGTTTGATGCAGTGGGTGGCACTTGTTTCTGTTCCGAGGAGGGAATAAAAATGTCAGTCCCCTTTTTTACGACGCTCGTTTCTATAGCTTGGGTTTTTATCTCAAGTCACATACAGTACCGCCTTTTTGAAATCGTATACTTTGCGGTGAGCGATTGAGAGTCATGTTGGCATTTTATTTTGGTCAGCACTACACGTTGAATGAAGACCTTGGGCAGCGACGTAAATATGTGTTGCTCCCCAAATTGTGTCCAAGGTGCGCAGTGACAATTGGAAATGGTATTGAAGGCGTGCGATCGTCGGTTGGTAATTGCGTGCATTAGATTCACTTATTCAATCTAACCATCTTTGCCAATGTCTTATCTGTTTCAACAAATGACATGGTCGAGTCTATTGATAACCTTAGGTAGACCGCACCTACGGAGTGTGCGGGCTTTAGATAAATTTGCTCCATTTGTGTTCGTACTCGGTGCTATGCAAAAATCGCTGAGATGTTATGCTAGCATTGTGTGATGGCGTTTTGCACGCCGACTCGCTATTGCATTCGCTGTGCACAGTATGTGTTCAGATGGAATGTGTCAAATCTTATTTCCGATCGATATGATAGACTTACTTAGCTACAGTGTTCATTAAATTTTCCAGATTTAAACTGGTCCGTCCCTGATCTGAGCCTAAGTTCAAATTTGAGAGTGTAGACGGACTTGGCGTCGTAACAGCCGTAACGCGCAGAAAGAAATTAATACAATGAAAGAAAAACAAAAGGATACGAGGCAGCTCAGTGTTATAGAAGTAATAAGTGTACAAAAGATGCCATCGTACGTTTCTTTTTTCCTTGTTGAACGTTTCGCATCGTTGTGAAACGCTCAAGGTACCAGCGAAGACAACGAGATGGCGTGAAATTTCATCGAGCGGAAAAAGAGCGTCACTTTCGGCCTCTGCTGAGTGAGTGAAGGAAAAGACTTTTATTGACACTGGTGAATGGAGGAGTCAACTTATTGGCAAGTTTAGAGATAGTTCTTTCATTTCCATATGGCGCAAAATGTGCGAGAAATAGTAGCAGGTAAGGGAGCAAAATTTAGATGTTGGGTCTGGAACACCGCCAGACTGACCCGTGTTGGGCCGTCTCTCGCGAGTCAATACGCCAAAGGTATTGCGCGTCGAACTGTACATGTGAGTTATCCATTTGAGCGAAACCTTGATTTCGGAAAACTATTGTGCGTTAGAAATATGCATTGTCTTAATCAGCTATAATTATCCCTTATCTCACTAGCTGCGCGCAGTACTTGAAAGCCACGAGCGAGAAATAAATGAAAGTGGCTTTTGTGGGACAATCGCGGCATGGAGACCCATAAAAGAGAGTCCCAAAAAGAAGAGAGCTCCCCCTCCCCCTTCTCTTCAAGTGTTGGCTTACGTTTTCAATCCTGCACCTTTGGTAACACTGCGCGCACCCGAAATCGCCTTCTTCGCGGAAAAACACGGTGACCTTCAGAATCGACGGGTGCTACGCGAAAGCGAGCGACGTGACGGGAACGAAGGCGAGGTGCTCCGGGCTTTGTAAACGCTCCTGACCGCAAAAACAACAAACTTTTTTCCTTCTTTTTTGTCGAAGCACTTTTTTTTTTTTTCGTCCATTTTGATACCACATCAACGCCAGCACTAACATAAACAAAATAAAAATAGTATGCATACAACGATAACGCACCCACTGGCACCCGAGTCAAGGCAAGAACAACCAACTACTAAAAGGAAAAAAAGAAATTAGTATGCATACATAGAAAGAACGCATCCATCGAGAGAAATGAATCGCGCGCTTGTTCTGCCAGTCTCTCGTTGGTCCTTCTGTCAAAAGCCACAGAAGAGGAAGACAGTCAGGGCCTAAACACCCCCTCCCCCATTTTTTTTTTCCGCCATAAAAAAAGGGAAAAAAAAAAAGCTTTCTGGACGATTGCGATCGCCCAAGCGATCACCTTGGAAGGGCATGCGATTCTAGCATGTTTGTCCCACGGCAGTTCCACGGTTCGTTTTTCCCAAGTACCAAGTCTTCGAGACGGAGAGGGGCCCGCAGACTGGGGGCGCCCGCAACAGGAACCCGCCCCCAACAAAAGCACACTACTTGGGCGTTGGGGTGCTGCGCTTTCCCGCGTTCTCTTTTTTTTTTTTTTTTCTCAGCTTGGTGAAAATGGCTACAGTTTATTTTCCTTTCTTTCTCACTTTCCTTCCTTCTTGTCGGTGCATGTGTGATCCTTAGAACAACTACTTATTCCAGCATAAAAATTAAAAAAAAAAACACACGAGAAGAATGAGTATAAGAAAATTAGTCGACAACTTGGACTCCGTTCTGTAAATCCTCAAGTGGAGTGTCTGAACCACCTCCTTCTCCTCACAGAGATCTGGCGTAGTCTCTCATTCTCGCGGAGAAATCCCTTTTGTAGGAATACACTATTGCTTCGCCGAAAGTCACAAGTTGCAGATGTTTTACAACGCGCGCGCTCTAACACATCGCTTGCCCAAACAGCCGCAGTCGTCATATGAGTTCCCCATTAGAGGGGGCTAACTCTCGTGTTAGCCGTTGATGACAACGTCCATTGGGGACGCCCTCATTAGGAAAAATCTTTTTATTTGTGTAGATCACAATCTGCGCCCGTCCGGCCAAACTGCAGACGCACAACAAAAGGGGGGCCCCTCGCAGCTGCCCCCATCTACGGATCTAAACTCTCCCTGAACTGGTCACTTCGGCGAGGGCAAGCGATCAGAGAATGTTTAGATAGACTGTTCCAAGGTCTTGCACAGGGATGGCCCTAGAAATACTTGCATAACAGACAGGCCAAACGACCCCCCCACCCCCCCTTTTTTGTCACCTTCCTTTTTTTTAACCTAATTTTTTTTTTCTTTGTATACGTGTTGTTGGAATGTTTTTTTAATCCTAGCAATCGTCACGCAGCAAGACCCAACTAAGTCAAAAAATGGATCCACTCTCATGGGCACGTAAGCAATAACACGTGTCCCAATCCGATGTTCTTCCAAACGCTTCGCCTGCGTGCACTGCGAATAAACGCAAGGAAATGAGACGTCATTTCCCCATAACTTGGCAAACGAAGAAAACTAAACCTCCCGTGAGCCAATGAGAGTGTTGGAGCGAGGCACGTGACAACGTACAGTGGTGAATGCCGTTCCTAAAAACAGCTTTCACGTGCTTTGCTCCGCGACTGATTCCCTCACAGCAGCTCTGACCTTTGAAGTTTGCCAATTACGGTGAAACCGAGTACAGACAAAACAAACAGGAGACGAGCTGCCAGCATATGCTAGTCATACTTCCAACAAAAAGGATTAGTTTCTCTCTAAGTTGTACGACATTTATCGTGAATCTTTGGAGCTATGAAGCTCTAAGTAACGCATACTCAAGATTCTTTTTCTCGCGAGTTTGTGATTTTTACAATGCCCTGCAAGCAAAAAAGATTTAAAAAAACAACCGGCGTTTTCTCGAAATGGTGAAGTCGCTAACAAAACCATCCGGGCTGGAACACGATGGCTCGATCTCACCAGAAACCTCAACGTGCGAAGCTTCCACACACTGTCGCTTACGAGTATTCTCAATCAGGGACTTCTTTAGCTTTCGCTTGCCGTAGGAAGCCTGCTTTCGACCCATGACGCCAGAGGCAAATGCAACACTTCCGAACGGCAAAAATTCGAACGCACCAAACTCCAAGCCATCAGGCAAGCGTATTTGCTTGCCTGATGGCTCCTTATCCAATTCCAGGTCGGGAACTTTAACAGCAGAGGGGCGTGAAATTCAGTTTCTTTTTTTTTGTTTAAAGCGCATTTTGAATGGCAATGGGTATCTAAAAATGATGCCTGCAATAGTGTTTAAGTAATGCGGCTCGGAAACAGGCTTTTTATGCGGTGCCACTCATTTCATCAAATGACATTTCCCCGACAGTTTGTTTCATCAACGCTGAGACGTTTTATCAACAGATTGTTTCATCGACACTCGCTCGTCGACATATCTTGCTATGCTTCGTTGACAACATTTTTGTTTGGTTAGGGGTGAGCTGGTTTGTTGGTGAGCAAGGGTACATGCACGGGGGCAGGACCACCCTTACACGCTGCTGTGAAGCGGCATGTACAGGTAGGCTGGGTGGGTCCACATTTTTGTAATGAACTGCTGGAGACTGTCGCCGCAAAGCGTCGGGAACTGGGTGGGTCGTATAGTTTAAGGCTGCGGTACCACGGCGGCCATCTTGAACAAAACATTAGTTGAACCACCAGGGCGGCGTTGGCTGTCCGTATGAGCAAATGCTGCAAAACCTGCGCACCAATTTCGAAACTCTTTTTCCCGTCGCTTGCGACCTTGAGTTTCGTTCTCCACTCTTACGCCCCTCCTTTCACGTGTTCACCCTCTGGCGCGTCGCGCCCACGTTCATTGTTGGGAGGACAATGTACCGGATAATCCCCAACTTGAGGCCCCCTGCCAAAATTGTCCCGCTGCCA